TCGGGAGGCCGAGGGGTGCCCCGGGCTGGCGCCAGCCTCGGCAATTATGTCATGTGAAAAGCGCAGCCCCCATTGAGCGCGTCCCTTCCCCCAGATCAAACCCCATTACTTCCGCGGCCGTTGCTTCATTATCTCCCTGCCGGAGCACGCCTCTGCCGGGGCTGCTTCATCTCGGCCCCGGCCCATTAGCCGGGCTGGGGAGCTGGAGGAGCATCGATTATGCATTTAATGGGTTGTTAAAAGTTTAATTGTCACTAACGAAGCAGACGAGCAGCAGCAGCCGGGGGACGAGGGACAAGGAGAAGGGTCTTGCCGGGGTCAGTGCCTTGCCTGGCCCAGTGGCATCCCGGCCGGTCCCACCTGACCCCGGGTCTGTGGGGACGTCAGAGTCCAGCCCTGGGGCTGTTAGATTGGGGTGAGATCCCCTGGGGTGAGGGGGCTACAGCTGGGGGTGCTGGCACTGAGTGGGGTCTGGCCCGTGCAGGGATGCGGGGGACACAGTGGGGATGGGGCTGCCCCAGCAAAGCCCCTGTTTGTGGCTGTCGTCGGGTCCGAAGTGGGAAGATTTTCTGCGGAAACATCTTGTTTTGGTGGGGGGGTAGGTCCGTGCTCGCCTCACTTCCCCAGGGATCCAGGGCACCCCAGGGACCTGAGGCACACCAGGACATCCCGGGGACCTGGGGCACCTGCTCACCCAGGGCTGAGCCCCCGTCTCTTGCTGTCCCAGCTGTACTTCAGCACCTCAAAGCCACTGCGGGCTCAGCCGTCTCCACCGGAGCTGTTCTGGCCCTTGCCGCTACCGTGAGGGTGCTGGTGACGCTGGCTGTGCCCTGAGCCCCGGTGGGCGGGCAGGCAGGGTCCCCCTGGGGCTGCAGAGCCACGCCGGGGACCCCTTGAGATGTGGCACCTTGCCACCACCACCCTGCTCCCACCTGGCAGGAACTGCTGGCAAGGGGTAAACCAGCCTTGGCGCAGCCCGCCACCCCCCCCCGCGGGGCCCCCAGGGCTCCTGGCCGGCCCCCTCCTCTCGCCAGCCCCATCCAGGGGCCACAGGGGTCCTGCGGCCACCCACCCTCCCGCTGGCACAATTACAGCAGCTTTGTGCCGCCAACATGTGGCCGGGCGGGCACTGCTGGGGAGCAATTAGGGCAGGTGGGCGGCAGGCGCAGCCCCCAAGGGATGGCCAAGCAGATGCCCCTTGACAGACCACCGAGGACGTGCAGCGGCACAAAGCCGGTCCCAGCCCGCAGCCGGGGCTGGATCAAGTCACCCGTGCCTGGATCCGGCCCCAGCCCCACATGCAACAGCCCAAGGGAGCGGGGTGGGAGGGTGCCCAGGGATGATGCTCCCACATGGCCCCTTGGAAAGGGCAGAGGCTCCGCAGCCCCAGCGTGCTAATGAGGGGCACCGCTAACAAGCAGCACGGCGGGCAGGGCCCCGGCAGTGCCCGACTCCAGCACGCGGCAGTCGTTCAGCTTATCTCTTTACTCACGATACAACTGTCTTCTCGGTGCCGGCGCATCTACAGGCACAACTGGCGTCGCACCCCAATGCGGCTAAAAAAATCCCCCCAAGTACTCCCTATGAAACTAGAGTTTTTCTGTTCGGTTTTGTTTAAATCTGCAGCGTTAAAAAAAAAAAAAAATAATAATGGGAAGGGGAAGGGGTGTGGGGAAAGGAGGTGTCCGACCGGGGGCGGTGGGTGGCCCGGTGGCATGGCTGGATGCCTGAGCCTCGGCTGGATCCTCAGCCCAGGCTGGTGCCTCAGCAAGGCAGAGGGGCTGCAGGCAGCTGCCGGGGGGCTCCCCTGCGGCGGGGGCCCGCCAGGGCGCCGGCCCAAC